TCTACATTCAATTCAACAGTTGTTGGAACAGGATCAACATCTGGTGGAACCACAGCAATGCAGACTTCCACCCAGCCAGGAACTACTGGTAAGATTTTACTGCTGCTATGCAATACTAAGAATGGATAATAAATTGGCAATGCTTTGATTAAAAGACACAGTGGACCAAGTAAAGTGAAATGAAAACGTTAGTTAAGAACCAGAAACATTGAAACCCTTATAACTCTTCACAACTCTAATTTAGCATTTTTTTCACATAAACTGAAACATATCTTGTCAAAAACCTGATACAAAAAAACAACCTAATTTCAATCTAAATTTAATTCAATAATAATAATTTTCATAGCATGCATGTAAAATTTACAGCACACAGAAATATAAACAGGATCATACCACCATACCATTCTTATGCTCTGGTTATAACATAATCTAAAATCAAATTTGGCAGTTATGTGCTATTCCAAAAAACGTCCCACTGCCAGTGATGGAAACTGAAAAAAAAGTGGAAAAAACATTTGAAAAAAGTATCAACATTTAGTTATTCATTACCTTTACTAGGTTATTAAGCTAGTCAGTATTTTAATGCAAACTGTGACAAGATAGTACTCAGTACAAGATAGTTCTTAGTAACTATGTAGTCATTACTTTTCATATAAATCAATAAATTGAATAATTAAATAATAGGAGAACATATCTGAAAACATAAAAATCTGCACCATATTGATATTAGTAATTTGACAAGTAACAATATTGTTATGCAGATATGACTTTTAAGTTTTTTCATTTATATAAAATAACAATAAGCCAAATTAAAAGTATTATAACTTTATATTTTTGCATATAAACAGCCTTCAAGTAGCTTTAAAATACCAATGAAGGTAAAAAATAATCCATCCATCCATTATCTGACACGCTTGTTCCGAGTGGGGTCACGAGTGGTGCTGGTGCCTATCTCCAGCAGTCAATGGGCGAGAGGGTGGGTACCCCTGGACAGGTCGACAGTCCATCACAGGTACAAAATAATCCTTTGAAAGAAATAATATAAATACTATATTTTACAATTTAATTAAACAGGCCTCTGTTTCCACACGAAAACCCATCAGGACTGTATAATCAGTGTGAATATTGTGGAAAAAACAATAAATTATGCAAGTGAATTCAGTATAACCTGAGAAAGTAAAAAGAAAATCCCAGGAACAGCGCTTCACTTTAGGGACAATGTCATTAAATCACTGACCCTGCACAATCATCTGTCCTCTCAGTCTGTGTTTAATTTAAGCTGAACACCCAACCACATTGCAGCTATTCAGCCAGTCAGCATCATGTATGCCTCTATTTTAGACCCCCCCTTAATTAACAAATCTACATCACATTTGCCTATCAGCTCTATGCTCAACTCTGCAATAAAAATCATTCCCTGCAGCAGAAAGGGTGCACATATAAAAAGACTCTTTGATGATTGTGAGAAACGCGTTATAGTAACCAACTGCGTTATATTGTAAGTATTGTTATGACGTTACAAATATGTAAGTAGAGGAATTTTTCAATGAAAGATAAATGCTGTAAGAAATCCCATAATAATGGCATTAAACCCACCAATGTTCACTGCTGTTATTCATTAATGAACCACAGCTCAATAAATATTGAGTATAGAAAATCCTTTATTGTTCCACAATGGGGAAATTTACCAAAGATGATGACGCCATGAGTCATCATGCCTTTACCGTACCTCTGTTTAATGGTATGATGAATTCACAAATTGCAACATGCCAGTTAGAGTTAAATTCAACATAATCAACCTTAACCAGCAGTGTATGAAATCTAAAACCTTAATTCGCTGTTGTTTACCAGCAGTACTCTTCACTTTGGAAGACTTGTACTGCTAAAGATTGATATGTTACCAGCTGCCCCATCTTTACCAACACTGAGCAAAACTACAATAGTCTTCTAAATCCACTGCTTTAAGTGTTTTTGTATGAAGAACAAATGTTTGAATGATTATTCAAATATTAATTGCGATTTAATTTGTCCCTATTATAATCAGCTTCAACAACAACTACGACAACTGCTGCTCCAACTACAACCACAACTAGAAGACCTCCCCCACCACCAGAGCCAAAGATTGAGTTAACATTTAGTGTGCAGGAAAATTTCACTGAGGATTTGAAGAACGAAAACTCACCAAGATTCATAGAGCTCAAGGGAGAAGTAACTAAAGGGGTAAGTTTGCTTTTTATCTTTTATAGAATTTTGTTCAACTTGTTATACTTTTTCTTGCATTTTAAATTACAAAGACTTTTTGCAAAATGTCATTTAAAATATGTATCCATTTTTCCCTAAAAGCTGGATAAAACCTATAGGGACCAATTTGGGGATGAATTCAACAGAACTGAAGTCCGAGGATTCAGGTATATCTATTATATTTCCAGTAATTGAGTTTAAAAGCTGTTCCACTTGTCAAAAGTTTTCTTTGGTAATATTTAGTCATTAAAAATGTCTGTTTATTTATTATTATTATTATTATTATTA